TTTGTTTTCTTTTCTCTTCTGCTATCAGTATCAACTGAGCACCACACAAAACTTTAAGATTATCCCTGCTTGCCCTGTCTATCCCCAAAAATTCAATCCTGAAGGGGCAAGAAGCAGCAGGGCAAGGCATGCTGGAGAAAACAAAAGAAGCAGAGTGTAGCTAAGGCGGGGTCTGTAAAAGAAGTGAAAAATAAAGCCCAGAAATGAATCCAACTGGAATAGGTTCTCCTTGAAAAATCTCAGCCTAGGATCACTGCTGGTAGCTTTTACACTCCGAGCCAGAGTGCAGGAGCCAATTGTGTGACCTAGAGAAACATCCACCCAACAAGCTCGTTTTCTGAAACCACAGCTATGACTTCCCTAATCAGAACTGGCTCTGTTGGTTGTCTGGCAAGTGAGGTGTGTGCCCAGGCGGCAGGTGACACAGTGCAGCCGGACAATGGGGAATGGGCAGTCTTTACCAGTGCGGTCACTGCATCTCAGCTGATCTTGAAATAACTGATGGACAAAGAAGTGATGTTAATGAAGCAGCAACTGGGTGTTTACCTTATGGCTACTTGTCTGGAGTTGAGGTAGGTATGTTTTACTGGGCTGATGTAGGTATGAAAATGCCACATGGCAGAACACATGAATTTGAAACATAGATCTACAATAAAACCTGAAAGTTTCAAGTTTTCCTGCGGTTATGAGCCTGCAAGCCATTCCACACAGGCAAATCTTTGTGTCCTTGATTAACCTCAGCCAATAACTCAAACAGGGCTGTGTCTGATTAAGGTCCACATTTGCAAGCTTCAGAAAATGCTTTGTAGAAAAATGTGGTTGTTGGCCAACCATGATTGCTGCACATAAGTTACATCTGATAGGAGCAAAATGTGAGAATTTAGACTGAAATTTCCTCACAGACCAGGGCAGCACTATTTTTCTTGTTGATTTTCTTGTTGATTTTGTACTCACTGCCTGGGCATAATTACCCCTTTCTTGTCAATGTCAAAACAGGGTGGAGGAGAGGTTATTTTTCAAAAGACAGGATAAATCCCTTTGCCTCTAACTTTTGAAAACTTTGGTTTACAAGTCACTGTGTCCCCGATGAAATGAAGTTGTGATCACAATTCTAGACCTGATCCAAAACATACTGAAACCAATGGGAGACTTTCTGTTGACTTAAATGGAAGCCTGGGTCATGCCCTGAGCAGACACTACTGCCCATATAACAAAATCAACCCCTCTCCAATTTTGAATGGCAGAAAACATGGACCTGGAAATATTTAAGACCTCTGAGGTCAGAAATTTGTCTACAACAAAAATCTAATACAAGAGAAATCAACAAGTTCACCTGTCTGCACTCTATCTCTTTCTAGTGCTACCAACCCAGACAAAACTGCCTCCACAGCAGGTATTTTATCAAAACTGTAAAAAGATAAGATCTTGGAAAAAGACAAAATCTGGCCCAGAGTCTAAAATGTAGAGTAATTATTCAATCTTAAAATAAACTTTTCAAATAAAGTAAACATAAGCTTGAGAAATGAGTGTAGTACAACTCAGAAGCTAGAAAAGACTTGCATCAGGCTTTGTAGCACAGTTTTATGCTTGTCAAACAATAAAGTTAACCTAGGACTTGCAGAAGAAGGCAACATGAGCACCCCATGGCCAGTGTCAGACTCCATGCTGTATGTCAGCAGAACCACCAGCAAACACCTCTTGTTGCTTTTAACATTCTTCACATGGCTCCTATGCAAAAACAGTAATGAAAAAAGCTTACAATGAGGGACAGTTAAGCCTGAAAATGAAACACACAGAACAGTTCTCCAAGTGTCAGGGGATTTGGAGAGAAAGGATCACAGAAGAGCACATGCTTTGGAAAGATTAAAACAATTACCGTACAATGTTGGTATGAAACTGATTGTCAAGGAAAAATACAGCAGGAAAAAGGAATATTGATCTTTTAACAGGAGAGACCATTAGTATGGATGATACAGCATTTGTAGGCTGGTCATTACCTTGTCTCACACATCCCCAGGACGGATGCGCTATTATTTGAACAATTCGTAGGTGGGGGAGTGGAGGTATGGGCAGACCTGCTACCCTCACACTGGCAGGAATGCTTTGTCATGTTGTCTGAAAGTGACTGACACTCACTAGCCAAAAATGTCTCACTCAGGGAGGCCTCTCTAGGCCAATCAGTTCTTCCACCCAACCTGAGCTTGGCAGGCTGAGGAAGGAAAAAGAGGCTCTTCTTTAGTCAGCTTTTTTCTACATTTGTTTTTCAGCACATCAAGAAACAGACAATGACACGGGGATTTTTTTGGTATAAGTTATGGGCTTAATAGATACATCCTGTATAAATGAAGAACAGGAAGGTCTGCAGGGCTGTGCAGTGGGAATAAATACACTGTACCACAGGTAATGGATGCATCCTGACACCCTGGCACTGACTTAGGACCAAGCACTAAGAAGGACCAAGAAGGCCCAGAGAACTTGTAACTCAAACTTGTTAGCAAATTATTGAGCTAGAACTTCCTCCCTTACCCCATAGCATTACTCACATGTTTGAGTATAACCTATTCATTATACCTCATGATACCCATTATACCACAAATTTTGGAATTAATTTCAAATTCCATTTGAATAGCAAAAGAGCTGGGAGGGGAAGAATATTTCTGAAGGTAAAAAGCTGACAATGTTGATCTTAAATCTCTCAATATATACACACATATATATACACATATATCTACACGGATCTAAGCCATGCTGGTGACAGGTTTCCTAGCGCAGCTGTTTCTACCACGCCGGTGCCTCGCCCCCGCCAGCCCCGCGCTGCCCCGACTCACGCAGGGGAGGAGCCGCCTGCACGGCGGGGCCCGAGGGAGATCCCCCTTCCCGGCTTCGCATCACTGCACCCCCCCCGGGAGGCGCCTCCGGGCTCTGTGCCGACCCTCACCGCCCCGCCCGGCTCGGCCCGGCCCCGCCGCAGGTCTCGCCGCCACCTACTTCTTGCAGGGGATGAGCGCCTTCCTCTCCTCCAGGATGCGGAGGCGCTGGTTGGGGCCGTCGTAGGAGACGGCGGCCCGCGTGTTGCGGCCCGAGCCGTGCTCGTAGAACACGGTGCGCCCTTCCCACTGTCGCGGCGCCTGGCACGGCTCGGCCCCCGCCGCCGCCGCCGCTCCTCCGCGCAGCAGGAGGACGCCCAGCAGCAGGAGCAGCCGCAGCGGCGGCCCCGGCCCCGGGCGCAGCTGCCGCCCGGCCGCCGGCCGCGCCATGCTCCGCTCCGCGCCGCGCTGCCTCGGCGCACGGCCGCCCCGCACGGCGCGCAGGCGGGCGGGCAGGCTGTGCCGAGGGGCGGGGGCGGCCCGCCTCCAAACCCGCATCACCTCAGAGGCGAGAGGCGCCCGCCGCCACAGCGCCCGGACGCTGGCGGGGCACGAGGCAGCGCGGCGACAGTGGGACCCTCGCCCTCTCAGGCGGGACCCTCGCCCTCTCAGGCCTCCCTCCCCGCAGCCGGGAGGGTCTAGGCGCCCTGGCCGTGTCCACTGCTCTGCGAGGGCTGCCCAGAGGGGCAGCTGCGAGCTCCAAGCCCTGGGCACTCTGCGTGAGCCTAGGAAGGGAGGGGATACGCAAACAGGAGTGACCTGCTGGGACAAACCGCTTTAATGTTGCCCTCGAGGGGGGCATTTCAGTTCCTCCCCTCAGGGAGACAGTGTCACCAAACATTCCTCTACCACATGCATTCCTTCATCTCCCACCGCACTCTTAGGTGTATCAGCTGTTGTTTCCTGCCTGCTCTGGGTGTGCTTTCCTCACCCACTAAGGGAAGGGCCGTGCCCCACAGGTGCTCAGTCCCTGCAGCTCTGCTGCATCTGCCGGGGGCAACACCGGTGGCACCACGGTACTTGGCCGGGGCAGGTACCTCAGAGCCACGCTGCGGCTCTCTCAGGTCACTGGGATAACCTGACACTGGGTTAATCTTCTTATCTCAGCGGGTCCCTCAAAGACTGGGGAGCGGCATTTCCCACAGGGAAGAACGGGCCCGGAGGTCTTTCCGTGCAAGGGGGAACACAGGTGGGCTGTGAGGGACGAGGGAGCCCTTTGGCCCTGCCACTCCTCTGCACCAGGGTCGCGTGGCCGTGGAGCAAGGAAATGAAAATAAAAAACAGCTTGGGAAAAGTCTGAAACCCCTTCTTCCGCTCGTGTGCAGATGCGATTGGTGGGGAACAGCGGCGGGGAGAGCGGGGCGGCGGGCTGACTGCCCGCACAGCAGCCCCACAGCGGCCCCGCCGCCCTCTCCCGTCTCGGCCCGGCCGCCGCCGTTTCCCCTGTCCCGAGCAAACCGGGCCACGAGCCACCACCCCGTCTGTCCGCCCGTGCGCTTCACGCCTTTCCCCGTCGGAGCCGAGCTCATGGAGGGAATTCTGCAACTCCCTGGAGGCGTCGGGAACAGCCGCCGGAGCTCCCTCAAGCCCGCAAAAAGTTTCTTCTCCCTTGAGAAAACGCGGCGTATAAAGTTCAGCCCCACGGGAAGAAGCCGCGGTTCCTACCGTCACCTTCCCTCTCCCCGCGCCGGAGCGCAGAGCCCCGCGGCAGAACCGTGTAGTTTGGGTTTCCTTCCCTCCCCCTTGCCCCCCTTCCACCTGAAGGAATTTATGACACAGATGAAAACTGAAACGGAGCTGGAGCGGCGGCCGAGAGACGCAGTGATGTCGCCGGGGGATTAAACGGGGTGGAGGTGATGTCACCGTGCCTGCACAGCAAAACGCACACATACACGCACACCCCCCACCCCCCGGAGGAGCGGGGCTGCCAAGGGAGCGCGATCGGCCCCACGTCACTCGTGCCACTGGTATAAATGCGGTCCCGCGATGTCCATGGCTGTCGGCGCGGCGGCTCCCGCGACTTGACTGCAGCCGGGCTCCGGGAGGCAGCGCCGCTCCGCGCCCTTCGGCCGCCGGGACCCGCGGGGCGGCGGCGGGCGGCGGCGGACAAGGAGGAGAAGGAGGAGGAAGAGGATGCTGCGCGCCTTGGTGGCGGTGTCCCTGTGGCTGCGGGTGAGCCCGCGGGCGCAGGGCGCGCCGTGCGAGGCGGTGCGCATCCCCATGTGCCGCTCCATGCCCTGGAATATCACCCGCATGCCCAACCACCTCCACCACAGCACCCAAGAAAACGCCGTCCTCGCTATCGAACAGTTCGAGGAGCTGGTGGCCACCGGCTGCAGCCCGGTCCTGTCCTTCTTCCTCTGCGCCATGTACGCCCCCATCTGCACCCTGGAGTTCCTCTACGACCCCATCAAGCCGTGCCGCTCCGTCTGCCAGCGCGCCCGCGACGGCTGCGAGCCCATCATGCGCCGATACAACCACAGCTGGCCCGAGAGCCTGGCTTGCGACGACCTCCCCGTCTACGACCGCGGCGTCTGCATCTCCCCAGAGGCCATCGTCACCGACGTGCCGGAGGGTGAGAACCCTGGGGGCAGCGAGAGGTGGGAGGGAGGACTCCCTCCACCCCCGCGGGACGCCCCAGGCTGGGACGGGGGGGCTGCGGGACCCCCACGCTCCAGTCCTGGAGCCTCTACCGACAATTTTCACTCTCTGACGCGCCTCTGTTTGCAGATGTGAAGTGGACGGACTTCACACAGGGCTTTATGGTGCCGGACAGACCCCTGGAGCCTGACTGCAGGAGCCGTGGCCAGGGTGAGCCTAGGACGATCCCCCTCCTCCACCTCCCTGGAGACAGGGTCCATCTGACACCTCTCAACCTTTCTCCCTTCTCTTCCTTTGAAGAGCGGTGCAGGTGCAAAAAGACAAAGCCTACGCTGTCAACCTACTTGGCCAAGAACTACAGCTACAGTAAGTGCATGGGGAAATGCTTCACTTGGCCTGCCCCACATCCTCCTTGTGTCCCTGCAAGTTAGGCAGCTCTGTGTGGGTGCTGAACCCACATCAGGCCCCATCCAGCAAGTGTGGCATGGGAAGACTGCTCCAACACAGCCTTTCCAAGTGAGTGTTTGCCAGGGAATACCTAGCTGTAGCACACACCATGTGCAGGCAGTAGCAGTAATGGCACAGATGATGGTGTGTTTCTGACAAATGCAGTAAAATGTCAGTAATGTGCAGCCTTCTGCTCTGCAGAAGGGGTGGTTGCTGCTGCAAAGGTCACTTTAGTAAAGGCAGTTATGCCTTATGTGAGTGTGATGACTTTGGCCAGCTCCTGTTTTCATCCAGCAGATAGAATAAACAGGGGTTTTCTACCCAAATAAAACTCGTAAATGTGAACCAGCTGCATCAAAGTAAAAAGTTTTTAGAAATTTGTATATGCTTTTACTTATTAGCCCGAGTTCTGGCTGGTGCACAATTGTCAGAGATTAACTGAATTCAGTGACAATTTGCACCATCCAGCCATGGAGATAGCTGATAGTTTTATTAGATGTTGGGTGACATATTGGCAACAAAAATAAGTATTCAGCCCTCTTTCCCCTTAGCTTTCCCCTGCCTCAGTTTTCTGATGGTGTGAGTCAGGAAGAATTCTAATTAAGATTAGATAAATGCCAGATTAAACCTAGTGTCAATACAAAGCCCCTATTAACTATGAGTTTTATATGCAGTATTGCTTCATTTTGCACTTTGTGGGTATTTTCTCAATGGCACTTTTTTTCCCAGTCATTTATCTAGTTCTTCTGCAGTAGGGTTATTATATAGTTCAGTTCCTATTTGTTTGATATCAGATAAAAGCAAGTTTGTAGCTATTTGCTTCTTTGTTAGCATGTTTGGTGGGAATAATCAAGCTGAACCTCTAGCTTAGGTAGTTGTACAATTTTTGTTCATTATAGCATTTTGGTGCATTTACATGACTTACTCTTTTTATATAATTCTTTGATCTGTGTCAGTACAACATAGAGATATGTTTAGGTGGAACAATGATTTTTTATAGTTGCCTGAAACATATGAAAAGTAGTGATATCAAATGTCTGTTCCAAAATGAAAGACAGGTGTTATTTGTGTAAATTCTGATTCCAGTGGTTTCAGTAGGAGTGTTCCTTGAGTAGAACCTGTATGTCGGGGTCCAAAATTTAATTCCATTGAATTTGTGAAATCAAGATTTTTCTTTTTGAGATGTAAGTATTTATTCAGCAGCCTGTGAGAGAAATAGACCTATTTATATGGAAAATGAATGGAGGGACAAGATTTAATGAGTTGAAAATCAATCTTTTTTTTTTTCTGAAAACCTTTAAAATAAGATATACTGCCAAATTGTACTTTCAATTGTACCAAACAGACTTGAAAATGGATTGTGAGTCTCCAAAACTGAAATTCCTCACATGTTTTGTGTCTGTTATACATGTCCTGATAAAGGTAGCACATAAACCCCAGACTGCATTAACAGTGCTGGTCTCCTGTTTTCATTGTGTGAAGTTTATTCGAAATGTTATGAGGTTTATGTGGAAGCTTTTGACCCCGTGGCTGGCAGGGGCAGGCTGATCATCCTGTGGTCTGTACACTTCTCATGCTTCTTTCACTGAAGAATTTTTGGACAGTAGAACCCTTTCTATTTTGACATTTCCTAGAGACAAAATCCTTTATGTAAAAATCATACTTAATTTATTAGATCTGGTATTTTTCACAAGAGAGAAGGAATGAAATGCTGGAGTGGTAGGTGATGCCAGAATTTTGTAGGTACAAAGTTAGCCCAGGGATCATTTCAGAGCAATCTGCAGTGCTTCAGCTTCTTGCATCTGTTCAGACATGCAGTTTTCCTCAATGAAAGGTAAAAATACAAATGATTGTGTATTCAGAGTCAGAAGAACCTTTTTCAGTATCTTGATTATATAAGGATCTCACTATTGGTAGAGAATCCAAAGGCAAAAGATGAAAAAAGGTATAGCTCAAGTAAGTCATGGAAATCCTAAGCCTCTTAGTTTTTTGACTATTGTTTCTAGCCTTGCCTTGTTTCTTATATTTAAGAAAATACTATATTTCCTGGTTACAATCTACAGGAAATGATTTTATTACTGAAAAGACTGAATTTGTGACAACTGTCTGTGAGGTAAATTATTCATTACTTAATCAGAAATAGCCAGATGTGGCTGGAGGATGGCTTAGATTTATGCAAAGGGTTCTTCAAGTCTGAGTTGAAGGAGCTGTTTGTGTGTGTGATTCCAGGCAAGATCGGTTGGTCTGATCTGGCAAAGATTTAAGCACATGTTTAATTTTACAGTTGTCAACAGTCCTACTGAAAACCAAATTGATATCAGGCCTCTGTTATTCTAAGCCACTGTTCATGCCCACACAGGCAGAAGTAGTTCTAGTTTCACAACCAAAACAACAGCTTCCAATTCAATATATTTTATTTAATTTTGAGATGCATTTAAATTTCCAAGACTGTTTATTGTTCTCGCTCTTCTGTTTTTCTATTTGCAGTCATTCACGCTAAAGTAAAAAGCATAGAAAGAGGGAACTGCAATGAGATAACCACTGTGGTTGAAGTCAAAGACATTCTCAAGTCTTCAACGCCAATTCCTCTGTCCCAAGTGCCTCTTCTTACAAATTCCTCCTGCCAGTGCCCACCTCTTCAACCAAAGCAGGATGTTCTCATTATGTGCTATGAGTGGCGCTCAAGGTGAGCCGTGATGTGTTGCAGAAAAGTGTTAGAGCTGGCTGTGAGGGATGGGAAAGAGGACCAGTAAATCTCTCTTCCTCATCATAGGCTTGTTTTAGGATAACTCATACATAGACTTACATAGTTCCATTACCTTCACAGCTGACTTTCATCAGCCTCAGCTCTGTGCCATGATGTGTTTACAAAATTTGACTCACGCAAAAAGTATAAAATCTGGTGGCATTAGGTGCTGACGTCACATTGATAAAACATCATGCAGCAGTTCAGTCACCTCCAGCTTGGGAGTGTTTTTCCAGGACCACTTTCCATGGGGATGAGCTGCTTAGTGTGCAACAAGCCCAGTGGTGCCTGTAGATGATGGTCTGTGTTGGCAGGACCACATGGAAGGCATGTGGTTCTTCCTCACCAGGGGAGTGGGCAGAAGATGATACACATCCTCTGTCAGCAGAGCTGCTGGAATCAGAGCCAGGCCTTCTCCACTGGCCTGTCCATACTTTGGACCAGTGCCGTCAATGAGATGTTTCTGATCCCGCAGCTGTACCGGGACCAGCCAAAGCTGCAGCCATTGGAGCTCCAGCTCCCGGATGGCAGATGAAAAGTAAATACTCTTAGAGCAGCTTGCCAGTCCTGCTGTATGATTAAAATTAAAAACAAAACAAAACTAACTTTACCAGACCTTTCATCTGGCAGTCAGCCTAGCCCCAGGCATGGAAGGAAATCCAGCATGCTGGCTTGGATGGGAAGGAGTGATGAATAACAGCTCCCTTTTCTCCCTGGTTCCTTGAGGCAGAAGGGAACATCCCATCCACATTAGCACCCCAAGTGCACCAGTAGATGCCAGCAGAGCAGGTTGTGGTGTTACAGGCTTTTTGTAGGCCTGTGTGTTGTAGTTTGGAGGCAAGGCTATCTGTAAAATGTGCAGGCTGGTTTTGCATACTGTGATGTTACTGTTAATTGGCCACACACGCTTGTAAGGACCACGGAACATCCACATGTGGGACGTGGTGGGCCATGCCCATATTTTTAATGAGCTTTATGTTGATATTTTGGGAGCATTTTATAGGTGTTTCTAAAATTTGCCATCTGATATCTTACTACTTTGTCTTGTTTTTGTCTTGTGAGCTAGCAGACACAGCATTGTATTACTACTCATCTCTTTGCCCCTCTAGGTCTGGAAGTATTTCACAAATATTAATGTAGAGCTCTCTCTTTGTGTTAGTGATTTTAGGGATACAAGCTCTGACTCATGTAGAAGGACTATGACCAGAATGGCGATGGAGGAGCTCTGGGTTGCAGAGGATCCTCTGGAGGCTGTTAGAAAAGGGAGATTTCATAAGTCAAAGATCACAATCAGCATCTCCATTATTATGGAAAAAAACACGTGATTCACTAAATGTCTTGTGATGGTTTTTAAAGGTCATTGAGGTTTTTAATTTCATATAGTGTACTAAAGTGGATTTGAAAAAGAAACATAAATTATTATATGTGCTTCCTGTTGAACTTAGTGGCAGGAAAACAGAAGGTTTTGAGTTACAGCAGCTTTTTAAAATGACAGAGGCAGAATGAGTGGAAGCTGTACCTCCTCTGCAGTCAATGGCAAAATACCTATTGCCTGTTGTTAGGGTTAGAGCCTCACTGGATAATTTGACCTGAACAAAGCTGTGCCAGATGTACTCCATGTTGTGGTTTCATCCATGGCAGTATGGCCTTGGCATCAATCCTGTTGCATTAGTACAGCATATTGGTCCTGATTCTCCAAGGTTTGCACTCACATTAGGCCTTTTATGTGTGGTCAAACTGGATGCACAGAGGCTAATGACTACAAGAGGCAGCATTTTGTACTGTGTTTGAGCTGCTAAGAGCAGTGATGCTATTCATAGAAACTGGAGGTCAGGTCCTGCTACACTATTTAACGTTCACCAGCCAGAACAGTGCTGTGTGATCTTATGTGCATTTATAACTATGTCTTGATGTTTCCAGCCAGCACTGGTGTCTAAATACAACCAGAATTTTAGTGGAGTTTATATTAGGGCATGTTAAGGCCTGGTATCTCAACCAACCAACCAACCAACCAACCAACCAACCATCCAACCAAAAAAACCCTCAAAAAGTTGTCACTGGGCTGGAACGTGGAAATTGTGACATCAGACTGCTTTAGAATAAGCTGCTTTAGGAGCTGTTTAAGGCATATATATTTAATAGTCACATTTTTGCTTTGTTCATTTCATAACAACTAGACTCAGTGTTTTCATGCAGGAGCTAGCCAGATTTTACTGGTAGGCACGTATGGCAAGTATCACTAACCATGCATCTTCCAAATTCACCTTAAAGGACTCATTAAAGAGTTAGGTGTAGGAAACACATACTGCCATCCTCATGTATTTATAGGTAGAAAAGGATACAATTGTAAGTGATCATATAATTATATTACTGTTTTTCAGCTAAGCTGTATTAGCTGGTGCATATGAAACAGCTTCTTTTTTAAAGTCAGAAGTAAAATGCATCCGTTTAATCTACTCTTCACATAAACACACAGAGAAACATATGGTATCCCATCATCCCATCCATAAAACCTGTCAGTACCAGTACCTGTGGGTGCATTTCAACTCTTCTGTGTCAAATCATTTGGAATAGCATCTCAGGAATCAAAATCAGCAATATCTATAATTTGTGTGTATTTCTTAATTTCAGGTTGATGCTTCTTGATGGATGTCTAGTTGAAAAATGGAAGGACCAACTAAACAGAAGATTTAAGGTAAATACAACCAAAGAAAAGAATGCTGAACTTCTTGATAAAAAGTTAAACACCTTTGTTTTACTTCAGATTGATTAACTTTGATGACTTTCAGATATCTGTAACTCCAGTGAGTATCATTATTTTCACTTGAACATTTTTAGCCTTTATAGTTACCCAAGTATAGGTGAAAATTTGAATACCTTAATCTTGTGGTTTAGGGTCTCTAAAATTTTATTTCTCTTTAATTTTACCCTGTGAGATGATCTTTGTATGAACTCTGGTTTCTTACAGTAATGTCTCTAGGAATTTCTTTCATTTCCCTGCTACCACAAGGAGCAGTGATATGAAAGTGAAGGTAATATGCAGATGAGTACATAGCCCACATTAGATAAGAAAGGAAGTTAAAATCCTCTGCACTGGATGAATGTTTTTTTGCTGCATTAAAGATTACAGGCTGGAGACACACACTTCTCACCAGGTACTCACTACTAAGACCCAGCCAAAGGATTGGGCATTGTCTCTCTGGATTCAGGAAACACTGGAAGGAAGAGTCTTTAGTATAGAGACATGGGTGGCAGGCACAGCAGATGCCCCTGCTTTTTGGGGCTTCAGGATAGCATTTGATATCACTCTCTGCTTGTAAACTCCTCTTTTTAATGTAAAGAAAGGATGCATTGAGAGAAGGTCTGATTCTTCCTCCCAGTTTAAGACATGGAAGAAAGTTATTTTTGGAAATCAGAAAGGTTTTCAGAGCATTAAGGTCATACATGTATGTTTAAGGACATACATGTGTGTTTTAATTGTGAGTTGAATGGCAGTTGATAGAGAGGAGGAAAAGAGATGTAGGAATCCATAAGAAAAAGCTTTCAGATTACAGACCAGCTTCTTGCAGGAAATTGCATTCAATGCTTCTCTCCTCCCTCTTCACTTACTCATCTGAAACCTATGTGTGGAAAATAAAACATGCTTTAAATCTTTAAAAAATAAATACATGGCAATTGCAGAGGATGCCATGTGGGATTTAGAAGAATATTGACATATGACTTGGATTCCTGAAATCCTTTAGCTGTCAACTTAATGGCCTGTTGCTGGCACACATTGTGTTTTAGTCACCTCCTCACACTGTTTTGTCATTTCTAATTGTGTCTTGAATCATGTTTGGGCTTTAGTTTTCAGATTGTCAAATAGATGCATGACTGCCAAAAAAATGCCCTTCAAAGCACATGTAATTTCCTCTCATATTAATAGTTTCAGAAACTAAATCCTCATTTAAACATATTTGAGTGGGACACAACTAAATGTCTGCTGATAGTTTTGGTTTTATAAACATGCATAAAATAACTCTGACCACACAGAGCCAGTATGGAGCTAGGTATCACAGTGGCTTCATTTTAATGCCCATCATTCATCTCTGAAGACTTGCATCCAAATTTTGTGTAGAGTTACCACTTACAATGGATGTTTTGAGCTGTCTGTCAACCACAGAAGACAGTTGTTAACATAACCACAACATTGCTGGTCTTTTCTTTAGCCAGGACAAGAGTCTGAGCTACAACAAAGTCATGCAGAGATATTGAATAGGCAAGCTGGAGAACATTTCTCTTGCTCTGATCACTGGGTAAATCCGCTGCCTTTAGCAATTTCAGAAGGGAAAGATAATAGAGGGGAGAGGTGAGATCCTTTCTGGGTTCTACTGCCTACCTTGTTTTCCTTAAAGTAGGTATTTCTGTTCCTAGAGGTGAAAGTCTGCAGTCTCTGTTGCTGTTCTATGGATCCCTCCATGTTTTAGAGAGTTGACCAGTCAAACTTACTGTAAAAACCTATTTTGTAACTACTGCATTATTGGATATGAAAATCTGACAACTGTTATCAGTGCTTTTCAAAATTTCTTGGGTATGCTGCTGAGTAAAGCTGCAGGTGCATTATTCAAACCATGCTATTGCAACTCTCAACACTGTAGTTTCACTGTGATCATTGCTATTGCCTGTCCATTGCATAAGCTTGTTCCTGCCCAGTCGTTTCCACCCCAGGGAAAAGCAGAAGCAGAAAGTAAATGCTAGCTCCCCTTGTGGCTGTGTGCTTAAGTGTATATTGTGAATGGATGGTTTGATTCCTGTAGACTTTTCTGAGGAAAAGTCAAGTAGCACATCCAGCAAGACAGCAAGGAAGGGCCTTACGAAGGAGCTCCAACGTGCTGGTCCTGACTTTTTGATGGCATGATGCCAGCTCCCCTCTATTTCTGAGAAGGCACTCACATGCAGCATGCACATGAGATGGGCAATTGTAATTTCCATCAACTGGTGCCCCTCTAACCTAGAACACAGTCCCTGCAAATAGCCATTACATGCTGACATCAATGGCCTTGCAATATAGAGCATGAGGCTGTTAAAGGTAGCACTAGCATCAGTGGTTCTGGATAGCTTTGATTAGGATGTAATTATTTATGATTATGTCCTTCCCTAACTCATCCTCTTTGTCTTCTGCATTTCTACAGAGGTGGGAACAGAGGCTGCAAGAACAAAAGCGGCGAACTGCGCGCAGTAAGAGCCAGAATTCGGGACGCAGTGGTCAGAGTGGAGCCCTGAAACCACAAACCAAGAACACCAACCCACTGATCAGTGGCCCCAAAAAGCCCATTAAAACAAGAAATGGCCAGAAAGAAATCAACCCCAAAAAAGTATGAGTGTGAATTCCCAAAAGGAAGGACTTTCCGTGCACGACAAGGGTCACAATCTGGCTTGGTCAGCATGTTTTATTAATCTGGAACTCATCGACTTAAAGAATTATGTCATTTTATGTCATACATAGACCTCTTTGCTGCACTTTACTGTTACAAGGTTTGCTTATCCTTTCACTGCAAGCCATAGAGCATAGGTTTGCACTAATATGAGGTAGGCATATTCCAGCTGACTGAGCTTTATCTTGGGGCTCTGATTTCCCATCTAGACAGAACTAGCCTTGGCTGCTAGAGGTTTTGACTCCTTGTACCAGTGGTCTGGTCTGTTTCCCTGCCAGATGTTGGAGAGCTGCATGGAGTTTCTCTCTCTCCTCAGCTGGTGTAGTAGTTGGTGAGTTAGTCTGTGAGTTAGTCTGTGAGTTAGCTGAGAGCTCACTAGACCAAGGCAGCTGAGGAGCAGCAGAAGGATGGTAACCTCTGGCAGATATCTCAGGCAGCAATGACTGCAGCTGCTGGAGCTGAACATATCTGCTATTTGGAATCACAGTCCTTGTTCAGAGTGTTCAAAAGCATAGTTTACCATTAAGCATCTGGGTATGCATTATGTGATTATTTTTATGAGTGTGCCGAAAATATGCTTACAGTGATATTATTTGATCTTGTGGGTTTGTGTAGTAAAAAATGCATTCAAAGCAGACATTTAATTTTTTAAATTGTACTTCAGGCTGGCTTCTGTTGTTCTAATTTCAAATATATTTAAACATCTAATTGAAAAATCTGTATTTTTTTGAAAGGACCGATTAAAGTGAACAGATCTGTAGAATTCTTAAAAGTAACACATTTGCTGTAATATAGCTTTGCTATGAAAACTGGAATAGAAGCTTTATTCTAAAGATAACTGACAGCTACTGTACAGTATTAAGGAGAAGATAGGGCTTCAAGTGGCTCAGTAATCATTTGGATAACTTTTTATCATTTGATACAATATTTCTAACCTTTCTCTGAGATCAAATAAATAAATAAATAAATAAATAAATCAGCTTTGTCCCTATTAATGAGCTTCTCAAAGCAACTGGCTATCTGCAGTTTTTCTTATCAGAAAGTAACATTTACTCTGAAAAGAGTGACAGGAAAACAGATTTTTTTATTTATGTGTTAAGTTTACTGACTTAACATTTTCTGTATGAGGTATTAGAACAACAATGGTGATATAAATCTAATCAATATAACTTCAAGGTGGCATTTGTGCTATTCCTTCTGAGGTGTACTTCAATGAGGCAGCATAGACAATACATTCTGATTTCATTTTCATGTAACACGCAAGAAGATCACCAACATTAAGATCAGAAGAGCTCATGATAGATGCCTGAAAGACCTTCCAGATTTCCTGTAGGAAGACTAAGAACTTGTCAATTCTGGTAAAATGAGGATTTTTATAATAGGAGCAGTTCTACATCAGAAAAAAAAAAAAAGGAGTTCTGTGTAGATTATCATAAGGAATAACAATTGGTCATACCAGTATGTTGATCTTTGCCATGACAAAAATTCCAATGAAATTTGCATGTGTGAAATTCACAGCAAAACATGCTGGAGTGATTCTGGTAGCAGAATCATACTTGGTAATTTGCTAACGCGAATTTGGGACATAGATGCCAAGTTACGATGTTTAAGACAGACAGACACAAGTGTTACAAGAAAATGGAATAATAGCATATAGAATAATTTGAGGGGGAAACCAAACTAAATGGTCATTGTTGAGCTTTGAGTGTAGCACTACTGGTAATTCTGGGCAGGTGCAGTACTTTGTTGACATGGAACACCTGCAGAATTAGATCTAAAATTTATTCCAGGTGCCAGGAATGCTGAGCATATATAGGATATGTTGACTTTAGTAGGATTATGTGTTTGACATGTCTAAAAAAACAGACTACAAACTTAAGTGCTTAAATACAGCCTATAGGTGGAACCTTAATCATGTTCAGTGAAATGGAAGAACTGAAATGGAAATCAAAGAAGACAGAATTTCACTTGCAGGTGACTAATTCAGGTTTGAAAATGCTGACTTAAGTAAGCATGATCTAAAAGGTTGGAAAACTTCTGAAATAGTTTTATGTACTCTGTAGCAGGAGTTCTTAAGTTTTGATTACCTATTGGTCCCAATTTCAAGTACCCCAATAAATGTATATGTAGTTAGCCATTAAAGAATGAGTGACACTCACATCAATGTGATGTTGAAATAACAAATACTGAAGTCATGATATATCACTTCAAGAAATTTTATTGTGAACATAGTCAAATGTGGTGTTTGTTAAATGAAATTTTTGGAGCAGCTACCTAGACTCCACAGCAACATCACATATTATTTTACAACTGTTAGAATCAAACTTATTTTTTCGTTTTGTCCGAGGAAAAAATGTACAAATTATTTTCTCCAGAGAATTGTCACCATTCCTTCTCTGAGTTGCTGTCATTAGATTGACCATTCCAATATGCTGGAATAGACATGGATGCACCAAGCCAGGTGTTTCCAAACTCCTTAACATTTTTATGTATACTTTATGCTGACTAACTTTCAACCTAATATGGTAAAAATATGGAAGAATGAAAGGCAATACAACAAAAAGCAGGGGATATCATAATACAAAGAACAGACATACAAGGGATAAATTAATAAGGTAGTGTGGTTTTTTTTCAAAACCATTTTTTCCCATATTTTAAGAAGCTATAGGTCAACTCAATTTAGCACTAATGCAAATCATTCAATTTTGAAAATCCCCTATGATTATTAACTCCCTGTGAAGTTATCAATTGCCAGCTGAATCTAGACCCAGAACATCCGCACCCTCCTGCTTCCCTTCCCTTCCCTTCCCTTCCCTTCCCTTCCCTTCCCTTCCCTTCCCTTCCCTTCCCTTCCCTTCCCTTCCCTTCCCTTCCCTTCCCTTCCCTTCCCTTCCCTTCCCTTCCCTTCCCTTCCCTTCCCTTCCCTTCCCTTCCCACAAAATAGGTGTTGGAGCAGTGAGGGCTGTTTGAACAGGCAAATTCCTCCCCAGAGGGTGCAGTCCCCACCTCTGCTCCCTCTGGCATGTGGCTAAAGGTCAGACTCACCTCTTCTCCTGCACATCCATGGCCATGTGTAGCCATTGCTGTGCTGGTGCACTCCAGCACTGGAGTCGTAAAACCTCCATTCAGCAAAGGGAGGCAAATAGTTTGCTGATGGGTGAATGTAATTATTCTAACTATTTAAAGATGAAAAAAATTAAGAGGCCAAATTCTTGAAGTGTTAAATGGATTTTTTCTCAGTGTTGCTGCTAAGCCTTCTTACTGAGGGGCTTGGCATTTTTTTAATATAAAATAAAAATTGCCTGGAACACCAAACATATGCTTCTAGTGAGTTTCTTACTACCTCCCACACACATGTGCCCAGTTTAGTTAGAAGTGCCATTCAGTATTTTCACTGAATGTTCTAACCTCAGTTCCAAAAGAATGAAACCTGAAAAAATATTTACTCTAATTGTGAATGATTGGCACCATTTTAGTAGCTCACTGTAAATACAAATCAAGACTCTTTTATGAAACACATTTTTAAAAAACCTATAAACCTTCCTCCAACAAGACCTGAATGACCCGGTCACTTCAATTCAGTGTTGCAACTTTCGTCCAGTCAGGGCATATGACTGAGAAATACTTCCTAAGCAAATAAAAAGAAGATTTTCCTGTCCAAAATACTCAAACAGCTCTTAAATTCTTTTATCCAGAATTGTAACCTAGATTCCAAATGAATGAAACCTGAAAAAATATTTACTCCAATTATGCACAACCGACACAGGCCTTTTGGTTGTGCTTAGCAGTTGAATGTAAATGCACATCTGAAAACATTTCCTCAACCAGATTTTTATGGTAAGCTACATCAGCAGCAATTAATTTTGTAAATAAATATAATCCATCAATATGGGTCAAAAAACATTCAAAATTATGTTTTCATTTATAAATACCCCCACTCCCCAGTGATTTGCAAATAATTAATTTCTATAGGAGTGCATTACTTCTGATTAGAGCTAGCCAAGGCTTTCTGGAAAAATTGCAGTGAATTTCAACTTCTAACACTATATTTCATGTCACATGTCTGAAATTAAACCTTAAGCCTTATTGGAATTTAAACAGCATTTCAAACTTGCTTTTGGATATGCAGTCAATTTGAGGGCTTCCAGGTAATCTATTAATATTAGATTGGTTCCTGCTGCTGCCAAAAGTCTGGTGGATAAACCACTATGGAAATGAGCATAAAACAAGGGAAGGCAACACTCCTTTTCTCTAGATGGGGATATTGAGATCAAGCCCCAAAAGTACCTTAAATATATCAGGCAGTCTACACCCAGATAGAAGGTTAATGGTTGTATCAGAGTAACCAAGAAATGCCCCAAACAGAACACCCTAAGTATTTTGATTACTCGTGGTTACAGTGTGATGAAAACTATAATTTGTACATACTCTGAAAACTTCAGTAGGTATTCTCTGAACAAGGTAACCAGAGAGCTGATAATTTGCTCACAAAGAGCTGTGGATAAACTGAACAGATATTTGAAATGTCTGACTTGCCAGTGTAGTTCATTCAGCAGTCAGAGCAAAGGCAAAATAGTGGTACAGAGCCACAAGCTGATTGACTCCATCTTCTTGGCAGGGAAAAAATGTTTTTTCTCCACTTGCCTTATTTTTTTATGTAGTAGTTCAGTACAAAATCTCAGAACAATCAGACATACTTATTCTTCTAAAACAGTATTTTAAGATTTATGACCCGCTTGTTTATCATTCTAAACTGAAACAGATCTTTAATATAGTCTTTAGTGTCAGGTTATGATTTCATTAAAGTTCCTAAACAAGGAAATATGTGGTTTGTGGTACAAATAAACATGCCCTGTGGTTCCATTTCTCTCCTGCTGGGACAAAAATCAGAAGAATAATTATGTTATCTTTTGTTAGTCTTGGAAGAATTATAATCAAATCTTTGC